TACACCTGGCTAATTTTTGTATTTTCAGTAGAGACAGGAATTCACCATGTTGGTCAGGCTGGTCTCAAACTCCCGACCTCAGGTGATCCACCCGCCTTGGCCTCCCAAAGTGATGGGATTATAGGCGCATGCCACCACGCCCGGCTCACCCTGAATTATTTCTTCTGTGAGATCCAAGATTCCTCTCTTGGGGTCTGGATCACAGCCCCTTTCCTGCAACAGCTTGAATTATGATCTGAAGTTCTGTGCGCCAGAAGTCTGACATGGATCTCATTAAGCTAAGATCAAGGTATCAGCTAGATGTATTCTCTTCTAGAGGCTCTAGAGGAGAACCTGCTTCCTTGTCTTTTCCATATTCTAGGCGGCACCTGTTTTCCTCAGTTTGTGGCCCCTTCCTCCATCTTCAAAGCCAGCAGTGTCAGCCTAATTCCTTCTCACGCTCCCATCTCTCCGGCTGTCTATTCCCTCTTCTGCTTTTCAGAAGGCTTGTGATTACCTTGGATCCACCTAGATTATCCAAGATAACCACCCTATTTTAAGCTCAAATGATGAGCAAATTTTTCTTTAATTATTTTAAGAGACAGCGTCTCTGTCACCCAGACTGGAGTGCAGTGGTGCAATCATACCTCACTGTGTCCTTGAATTCCTGGGCTCAAATAATCTGCCGGCCTCAGCCTCCTGAGTAGCAGGGACTAGAGGCATGAGCTACAACACTTGGCTCTGATCAGTGCATTCAATTCCATCTGCAACTGAAATTCCTCTTTGCCTTATAACATAACATAGTCACAGGCTCTGGGGATTGGGACATAGGCATACTGGAGCGTGTCATTCGTCTGCCTGCCCCAGGGGGTGTTCCATACCGTTTCTCAGATCAGCCTCAACAGGGCAGAGTCCCAGATGCCCGCGGCAGGAAGCCACTTTTTAACATTCCTTCCGGCTTTCTCCCTTCCGTTTCCTCCTTATGTTTCCTAGGATCATCTCCTAAATTAACTAACTTCCTTCTCCCTAATCCTTGTCTCCAGGTCTACTTTGGGGGAGCCCAAACTAAGACAGTGACCTTGGATAAATTACTTATTTAGCCTGAACTCTGGTTCCCATCTCCATGAAAGAAAAACATGTAGTAGTACCTACCTCAGGGGGCTATGGGGAGAACTCTGAGTCAATGCTTTAAAACACTGTGCAGTGGGGTATGTAGTGAATCCTCAACAAAGGTTAGCTATTGTTGGAAGGGTGGAAGTCAGGGTACAGGCAGGGACCAGCCTGGAGCAGACAGAGGGCAGTGCTGTCTCTGAGACACTGACCCTGGAGGTCAGAGGAGTGTAGTAGGGTGAGGGAAAGGTGCGGGAATTACAGGGTTTCCTCTGAGGACATGAATTTTTTCTGTAAGGTGCATCTGCTCTTGAAGGCAGCAAAGTGTGAACCAGCCCTTGGGGAGAATAATGAACATCAGGAATAACATCCTCAAGGATTTTTGAGCTGTCAGAAAAGCCCGCTGGCACTGGGGGATGACACGCTCATCATGGCAGGATCTCTGAGTTTTCTCCAGCCCAGTGGAAGGACAAGGAAGGCAGGTAGAGGGGCTTAAGTTTGGACATTCGGGGGTGAACATGGTCATTGAAGACGGTTGAGGGGAGATGAGGCTGCAGAACTAACCTCAGGGGGTCCAAGCTGAACGGAATGAAAATGAACCACTTCAGGAGACTGGTGGCTCCCATGAAGTTAGAGTGTGGGTGTCAGATACAAAGAAAGGAGAGGACTCAGGGAAGGGGGAGAGGGTGTTGGTGTTTAAGATTTCCAGGGTTAGCTAAGCATGGTAGTAATCCCAGCTACTCAGGAGGCTGAGGTGGGAGGATTGCTTGAGCCCAGAAGTTTGAGACCAGCTTGGGCAACATAACAAGAGCTCATCTCTGAACGAATAAAAAATGAAAGATTTCGAGGGCGGAGAAGGTTCATTGCACGGCCATGAGAATGGGTGTCTAAAGTGGAATTAAGGTCAAGGTCATCAGATTTGCACATCCATCATCTAGCACGTGCCATTCCTGAGAATGGACCCTCTCCATCCCCCGGGATGACAGAGCAGGGGCCGCTTTTGAATGGGCATGATTCAAACCATACAGGGGAGTGACACTTCTGGCAGCAGACGATGGCAGTGCTGGATGGCATGAGCCCTGAATGAGAAGGGCAGGTGACAGGAAGGTGATATCGCTGGAGCTGCTTTGCTGCTTTGGGGTGAGCAGCATGTGAGGTACGGAACAGGCAGCCTTTAGTCCCTCTGGGTTTCAGAGGAAGTGGAATTCTTAGGTCAGTGTTCTTTAAAAGCATCAGAATCACCCAGGGAGCCTGGAAAAATGGGGATTCTTAGCATCCCTTCTCCACCACGTACACCTCCGACCTGCTGGAGTCTTTTCCCATGGCTGCCATAACAAAGGACCGCAAGCTGGGGAGTTTAAATCCTGGAGGCTGTTAGTGGGAAGCCAAGGTGTCAGCAGGGCTACGCTGCCTCTGAAGGCTCTAGGGAAGAATTCCAACTTGCCTCTCCCAGCTTCTGGTGCTGACAGCAACCTCTGCTGTAGCTTGCAGCTGCATTGCTCCAACCTGTCTCGGTCTTCACATGCATGGCCCTGTTCCCCGTGTCTCTTCTGTGTCGCTGTCTCCAAATCTTCCTTTCCTTTTCTTTTTTTCTTTTCTTTTCTTTTTTTTTTGAGACATCTTGCTCTGTCATCCAGGCTGGAGTGCAGTGGCATGATCCCAGCTCACTGCAACCTCTGCCTCCTGGGTTCAAGCGATTCTCCTGCCTCAGCCTCCCAAGAAGCTGGGATTACAGGCGTGTGCCGCCACGCCCAGCTAATTTTTGTTTCGCCATGTTGGCCAGGCTGGTCTCAAACTCCTGGCCTCAAGTGATCTGCCCACCTCGGCCTCCCAAAGTGCTGAGATTACAAGTGTAAGCCACCTCGCCTAGCCCAAATATTCCTTTTCTTCTAAGAACATGAGCCATAGAGATTTACGGCATATCACAATTGAGTATGACTTCATCTTACCTTGATTAAATCTGCAAATATTTTATTTCCAAGTAAGGCCATATTCACAGGTATGGGGGCCAGTCAGGATTTCAACACACCTTTCGTGGGGGACAAAATTCAACCCATTGTATCTGCTAGCTGTAATCTTTCGAGTGAGGCTGGTAAATTAGTTCTTTTTGTTTTGCTCTGTTTTGTTTGAGACAGGGTCTTGCTATGTTACTCAGGCTAGAGTGTAGTGGTGTGATCACAGCTCAATCTAGCCTTGAACTACTGGGTTCAAAATGATCTACCTCAGCCTCTCAGGTAGTTAGAACTATAGGCATGCGCCATCACACCTGGCTACTTTTAAAATTTTCTGTAGAGAAGCGGTTTCATTATGTTGCCCAGGCTGGTCTCAACCTCCTGGCCTCAAGTGATCCTCCTGCCCTGGCCTCCCAAAGCCCTGGGGTTACAGGCATGAGCTACCCTGCTCAGCGGTAAACTGGTATTTTTAATAAGCCCCAGTCAGACATTGCAACCCAGGAGAACCATCTCTCGGACGGAACCAGCAGAGCCTGAGAATAAAATGGGGATGGCTCCCTAGAACGGGGTTCTGGTGAGCCCGGGAGTTGGGGGGAGCGTAGGACTAGCTCAAAGCAGTAACCAAGGAAGAAGCTCTCATCACCGGCAAAGAAAAGGAGGCATGACTCTGCCAGATGATCTGGGCCAAGGCTGTAGTGTGGCCCTGGATGAAGTAAGGCATCTGTGGCTTACGGTCTCTGCGGCAGAGAACTGCTTCCCAGTGAGCTCGTGGTGGGTGGAGGCGGGGAGGAAGAGCCGGTTCTGAGGATGGTGGCCTCCCACAGACACAGCGGGGATCAGCCTCTGTCCCACCCAGCTACTTGATTTCCCAGTTCTGCCGAGCTCTGTCCAAGGTCTCTTTCACTTTTGTCCTGAGCTCTCCCTCCGGGGTTAATCTCACCTCCGACGGAGGCTTCGAACACCTTTTAGATGCTGATGGCACCCAGATTTACATCTCTGAGCCCCACCGTCACACCAAATTCCAGACCTGTTTCCCTATTAACTTTGGTCTGGAATATCCGGCAGATCTGAGATTTGCAACTCTGAGCCCCACCCCCATACCATCCGGCAGACCTGAGATTTAACATTTCCAAAGCCGAACTCACCCCGAAACTTGTTTGCCTTTCAGCAGTTCTCAGATCAATTATTAGCATCGCTCCTCATTCCCTCCCCCACCTCACCCCCGCAAACTGGAAACCTGGGGGTCATCTTATCCTTCTTCCTCTCCTTCCTACGAGCTAAATCACACCAAATCCCTTCCCTGGGCTGCATTCCCCTTGCTTTCAGTTCAAGTACATCTCCGGGCTTGACTAGTATAATACCCTCTTAATGAGAACCGTGACCCTGTCTTCCCCTCTGGGAGAAGCCATCCTCCAGTGGTGGGCGCCTGTAATCCCAGCTACTGGGGAGGCTGAGGCAGGAGAATCACTTGAACCCGGGAGGCGGAGGTTGCAGTGAGCCGAGATCGCGCCACTGCACTCCAGCCTGGCGACAGAGCGGGACTCCGTCTCAAAATAAATAAATAAATAAAGGAATGCAGGCTAACACGTTCTTTGCAAACTTACTGCAGGGTATGAAGAAAGGACACAAAGACAGGAGCAGCCTGTCTTCGAGGTAGCATCCCTTCTGCATCCAGCCCAAGATTAAAACCCGGAGCAACTGGCAAGCGGAAATGTTAAGAACGAAAAGGGCATCTGCGTAGCGTGCCAACCTGCCGTGCCACGTAAAGTACGGTCCAGTGACCCAAAACATTTCTGCTCCCAAACACATTTGGGAAATGCTGACCTACTCCCTAGAAAAGTTGGATCGGCATTCCTGCACACTGCTGTTTTAGAGGGAAGCCCTAAACGATATCTGAAAGCATTTGCTTTATTTTCATCAGCAATGCTTTAGAAACTCGAAAGCCCGGAAAAAAGTTACTTCACGACGTGAAGCTCCCCGCTCGATGCCAATACGAACACATCCAGGATTGCGGCTGCCATGTTCGCTCGAACATGTGCAGGACAAACAATGCGACCAGCGGGGGAACCGTAAACCTTTTTCCTAGACTTCCTACCACGCGCATGAAGTGTTCAAGAAACTTTGCAGGACGTCTCCACATTTCACGAGGCTCCCGTAAACTCCGGAGCCGAGCTAAACAATAGGAAGGACAGACGCTGGGAGTCCCCAAGCATCTAACGCGCCGTTTGTGTTTTCAAAAAACCTATCCCTGGCGCCCAGGCGGCTTTTCCTGGGCTCCTAGCCTCCTGTGCAAATTGTTCCCTTGGCCATTGTCTTCCAGGACGCTCCGCTGCGCACTCGGGGAGCAGGTACAACGCCCCGCAGAGCGCCGCGCGGTCGAACCCGGCCAGGTGGCGGAAGCGTTCCC